CATATTATCGACTCGCAAAAGAGGAAGAAGATAGTAAAATTACCCACAGACCGGTACTCTAATCTTGCACCTATCACCTAGTGTGCATAACACATCAATCATATAACAAATCAAAGCATATTGAGTAGGGAGTTGCAAGAAACAAGGTATTTACGAACGCTCAAATTTGAATTTTTTTTGGGTATAGCAATGATGGTTCCAAAACACTATCATTTGACCATTGATCACCAAAACACAAACACAACCGCTAGCACACACTCCCATATGTATTCATCAACGTCATACATTTATAAACAAGGGAGGATTCTAGCGATTATGGCTCAACCAATCATGAAATTCATTTAAACATTCACACATCCCCCCTACACTTGAGCAACACATTGTTCTCAATGTGGGAGTTTCATAGGAGAAGATCGTAAAGGTTACCATAAGTCGTGTTGTGGGTTGGTGAAGTTACACAAGTTTAGCTCTTTGCCTTCTTGGTGGGTTTCACAAAGATAAAGCGCATAGGAGATACAGGAAGATGAATAAGAGTTATAGGTACGATAGATATATAATATAAGCAAGGTTCAAAAAGGCGTTAGGCGTAAGATGGGCATTGAGGCTTTGCCTACCGCCTAGCTCGCCTAGGCGTAGACTAAGCGTGCCTAGGTGTTGGAAGAAAAATAGCTATTCGCACTGCATGATGAATGAAATAATAATCTACAATACTTCCTCACTTCACTTAAAATGATTATTAACTTACTCAACACTTAATGACAAGAACATAGCTCACGAATTCATAGAATCATAGCTCAGTAGCTCACAAAGTTCTTGAGCTATTGAAAATATTGACATAGAAAATTAATTTCGTAGTTGACGTTAATTTCCTCCTTTAATATTGACATCCTAGCTCCATCTATTAATTTTTAGGAGAGACTTATGTGTCACCTTACTCAATTGACGTGTTCCAGTATCTAGCGAAACCACAAGGCGAGACGTTTTGCCATTGCCTTGCGCCTCGGCGTGCATAAGCGTAAGATTAAGCGTGCCTTTTTGAACCATGAATATACGTAATAATACTACTAGTGCTAGAATATTTAAAGTGCAAAAATTAAATGAAAAATAAAGTGATCATTAAAAATTATTTTAATTAAAACAAAATAAAATCAAAGAAATAAAAAAGATGGAAATCGGCCCCTAGACGCCAAGTTGTCTTTGATTCATAGTTGTAGCATATGGTAGTTGCACATCGGAGGCTCTTTCTTGTAAGGATGGTCCATCATAGTTCATAGTCACCTCCATTGGTTGATTTGTTGTGCTTGATTTGGTTGCTCCTCACTCTAAGGTTATGGTTCCTCTCATGGAACTTGTGGTTATTCTCATCATGGGTGGTTCCAGTTTCTTCGTTGTTGAGCGCTAAGAGAACTAGCACTCTCACTCTTGGTTGGATCGCCATTAGAAGCAAAAAATCACTAAACATGTTCAAACAAACCATTAGGCAACTCCCTAGATCAATTGAACAACAAAAACCATCCTCAGGTTCACTCTATACACCCCCACACTTAAGTGTTACAATGTAGAAACTAGGGGTGCATAGGTAGAAAGGCATGTTATAATGACTAGAGTCGACGTCCATATGCCTGAAAACAAGAGCAACATGTCTTTCTAGAGGTTTCTAAACCCCGGCTGAAGGTTAGAATCAACTCATTTGACAACAACCAAAGCATGAACTCTTGGCTCTAAAAGCATAACGAAGCACAAATTCGAAAGTGAGCCAAAATTTCAAACTCAAGGAACATGAATCAAATATTTAATCCTAAGTCATAAACACACCCCTAAGGGTCTATCTTAATCAAACAAGTTCAATTGAAAAGCCATGGATAAAAAAATAAGTTTTATGTGGTTTGGGCTTTTCATCGAGCACTTGATGGGCAACATTCAACTCCACAAATTATAAGCATACATTTTGTGATCCTATTGCACTAGCTATGCCATACCCTAGCCATAAGTAGCTTAATTGGTAGGCCAGGCTAGCACACATGCTCAACACAACAAGAATTCCAACCATTCCTTATGCATGAAAATAATACTTGACATTGAAGGGATTCATTCACTAACTAAAACTACTAAAAAAACTACTTAAAGCAAATTCAACATGCAAGTTTTATTTTTGAAAAGGAAATGCAAACCGGTTGTTGGGGTACCTCCCAACTAGTGCGTCGTTTAACTCTTATCGGCGGACATTTATCTTCAAGTATTCGTTCCAACTGGGAACCTCCTTGAATTTGAGGCTCTCATCGCTGAGGTGGTGTCTCAAGTCCCAAGCATTGGACGATTCCATGGTCGAGGGCTCATGAACTTGAGTTGTCATGAGGCTCCACCCACGAGACCTCTCCTTCTTTTCTTCATCTATCTTCTCTTTGCCCCATACCATGTAACACAAACTCTATTGACTTCCATCGCATCCACCAAGAGGGATCGCCGATTGTTTGGCCTTGGCTTTGCAAAGAGCCGCAAATGGGTCATTTTCGATTAGCGCATCAAGGTTGGGTGGAAATCTTTGGTAGCATGTAACTTGTGGAACCTTCATCCGCCCCAAACTTGTTCTCATATTGGACTTCATTTGCATCCTCAACCTCCATTACTTCCTTCACTTGGGAACAGTCAAGGTCTTCCTCTTCTTTAACACTCACTTCGTCATCCTCCACCTTCTTTCTCGCCTCTTCTAGCTCCTTTTACTCTTCAAACGATAGGAGATGATTGTGAGCAAGTCGTGCATATGCTTGCTCGACAATCTATACTAGTCTATCATTTTTTTTGGAGGATCTCCACTGATGTTCATAGTAAGGATGAGTTGGTAGGGATGGTGGTTGAGGACTCCACATTGGAGCTGGCTTTGGTATCCCGGGCGAACCGCTCCACCATGAGCGCCAATTAGCTCATCGGATCTTGTGGAGTTTAGAAATATTGTTGCACACTTGAGAATGCTCCATCGGATCCCCGGGTAAACCATTCCACCAAGAGTTCCAATTTGCTTCTTGGCTCCGGTTGTGGAAGGAAATCTTCTTGGAATGGGGAATCCTCTTCATATTCTCATTGTCATGGTTCTTCTTCTTGGAAGGGAGTTTGGTAAAAGAATCCGAACTCTTGACTTCCACCATCTTGATTGTTCCATGAAGCTTCGGGGTAACCATCGTCGGGTATTGATGAATACCCCCACACTTTGGTGAATCATAAGGATACATGATTCAAAAGCTATAATACACAAACAAAAACTCTAAAAGTAAAATCTAACACACACAAACCACCCTTACGGGAGAAGAGTGGGTGAAAAACAAAGCACAAATGAGAAAACAAAGAAAAACACAAACATGAACACAAAATAAAATAAACAAACAAAACAAGATAAAGACTAAACTAAAAACTTAATGGTTTTCTACTTGAGTACGTGCAAATCATTGTCAATGGTTAGCACGTGTCAACAACTATCCCATCCTAAGCCAAGTTCAACTTAACATGGCATTGTCGTATAGTGGTAATCAAGGTCGAATGTTACTCGGGTCCTGGTAACCTAGCCTAATTCCCACCTTGTTAATTAGTTAATCGGTTTTCGAGGTTTGAGTAAATAATTTTAGGGAACCACTATTTTAGAGATTGAATAAAGCTAAAAGAAGGTACTTCGGGGAACTATCCATCACCCAGGTCCTAGAGGTTGAGGAAGATGCCTCCTCTCTTCTAGCTCCTTCTCCTTCTTCTCCTCTTCTCTTTCCTTCAACTTCTCTATCCTCTCTCTAAAACCAGAAATTCCTCTATCAAAATCAACTTCTCTAAAAGGGGGAAAGAAGTCATCTATTTATAGCCAATCTGAGGACGGATAACTTCACGACCAGAAGGGAAGAATCTTTAGAGGAGAGGCCGTGATCTTGAAACACAGACATACTAGCCTTCAGAATTGAGGAGACTGCGGGCAGACTTCACGGTTGCGATCCGCGAGTCGCGGCTTGCGATCTTCCTCGTGGTGAAAATGCATTGTGGTCGTGATTCGAATGGAGGAACTCTCTATTTCTCCTCGACTCCTTCTCCGCAAAGTTCGCACTCAGAGCCCTCCAATTCGTGACCACGATCTTGGGCTTCCAGGCTGTGATCTTTAGCTTGACTTTGCGGCCGTGATCTTTACTTCTAGGCTAAGATCTTTGTCTTCTACCTCCTTGATACACGTGTGACCTTGTTTTGTACCTAATTCGATTATATCATCTAACACACCCTAAAATCCCATCGAATTCATATAGGAACGGAGTACGGATGCAATTGGCGATGTTTAAGCATTTATGCACATTAATTGACACTAAACAAACCTCAATTTGAAGGGTAAATAACACCAATTTATGTGTTATCATACAACATGTGCTTAAATTAACTATTAATATTCGGGGTCATGAGGACTTGAACACGGATCCTTACTGTCAAACCAATTTAAGTGTCATGCCATAAACCAACTGGTCTCAATAACTTGAATTGTTGAGAGAGGATCATATATGAATTTTATACTACGTCCTTACATTTATCACTCGACCACCGATACTGGTTTAGCAATCCACCTTTTTGTTAGATTAAGAGGGTTGGCTCATGCTGTGATTTCTCATTAGGTGATAGTTTGCTTTTGTATTTCATTTTTTGGTATCTAGCATGGTTGTCCTGCAGCAAAATGCTGACTGATTGACCTTTGTATAACCGATGTCGGTCATGAAACCGACTAGAATACAACTGGTATGACTGACATGATCCCTTTCCAGCCTCTAAACAAAATGACATGGTTTTAGTAAATTTATTTAACGAAAAAATTAATTTGTGTTGATTATCTATTATTTTGTTTGGAATGTTCTATTTTATTTTAAATATGAATGTAGATTGTAAGTATATTGTCTTCAAATATGTTTTATATATACTTAAATTCATTTGATGTTGATGAGTTTTCACATTTCTATATATTTTGTTAAACTGACATGAACCGATCATATCCCTATGGACAGTGGCGGACCCAACATTTTTCGAGAGGTGTGTCAGTCGCTAAAATTAAAATAATAAAAACTAATTCACAATGTGTACAATTTTATTATTTTTCATATCGAGCAAAAAAATTTTATTTTATGAGAGGTTTGTGAAATACATTTATCGGTTATTTTAGTAACGTAAATATTTTTTCAATGCATATACCTCTCCTAAACATAGGTCTGTCCGTGTCGGACAAACCATATTACTCACTTTACCGACACCTAGATATAGACAGGTTTGACAATTTGATATCCTGCCAAAAGAAAAAGGGAAATTTTGCTACAACCAAAAAAATGTGCTGAAAAAGGAATCGGTTCCAAATATTGGGGAAGGCATTGACCATGTCTCTCGAGTATCCCAAAAGAGTGGGAGGATAGCGTACCACTCATGAGCCATACAAGGGCTATTTCAAATGTTTGCTTCTTTCCTCTTTCTATTTTCTACTGTACGTTGAAAGTCCTGCTAAAATTTTAAAAAATTGAAACCAACAAAAAAAAAAGAACAAGAAAACGAAAACGAATCATATAGAAAAAAACAAAAAAGAAAAGTGAAATCCTGTAAGTCTCCATCCTGAAATGCAATCACCAAAGCGCAAGTTAGTTTTACATGAAATACATTTTTGACAATTCACTTCGACATTGGACAGTTTCACAACTCCCACGGTCTAGAGCCCGCCAATCGGATTTCGTGCTATTTCTTTCATCCCACATATTGGCACCATATTCAGGTAGTGTTTTGGTGATCCTTTCTTCCTCTCTTATAGATTGGCGATTATGGTGTTTTCCCCCATGTTATTGCTGGAAATTCAGGAGCTAATTTATTTGTTTGTTTAATTCCTCATTCAGTCAACGATAGGGTTCGTCAGATTTGAAATTGAAAGTGTAATCATTCATTGGCGATAATTATGATGGAGAGAGCAGAGTCAGGGCAAAAACTGTACACGCGTTTGCGACTCTGGGAATTCCCTGATCAATATGTGATTGAACCAACGAATGGATCTGCCGGCGCACCCTTGGCCATTAGTAGGAAAGATGGCTCCATGTCTCTCATCGGTAACTTGCTTTTGTTTTCTACCATTTCATCGGATTCTTCTTGGACGAACGGGCAAACTTATGATCATTCCTCCGTTTTAGCACAGACCAAGTGCCACAATGCAGTTCTGTGAGGGTTCCTAAGATCCAGACTATTTTCGGTGTGGTTGGGCTGCTCAAACTCGTCATAGGTGAATCACATTCTCTTATCATCATAATGAAATGGATATGCATTGTTCACTCTTTACTCTTTTTTTTTTTTTTCTGCGTATCACTTGGCATGAGTTATTTTGAATTTTGGGCATTAGGTTAGGCAATCTATTCCTCCTTAGTGCTTTGAATCTATAGTCTTTCCAAAATTTTGTTTATGCTTGGTTTGTATATATATCAGGAAATTCAGTTCAAATGACAATGAAAATATATGTTCCTTGGAATTTTACTAGAGTTTGCCCATACAGGCTGAGAGATTGAGAAATTTCAACCATCGTCTAACATCTTTTTAAATGTTTGAAGCTATTGGAATTATTCTATGCAGGATCATACTTGATAGTTGTAAATGACCGTGAATGTGTTGGGTCCTACATGGGACATCACATCTTCAAAGTTACATCATTGAAGGTTTTCCCTTGTGATCATTCCCTGAAAAGTAGTACTACTGAACAGGTAAGTCTTCTGCACTACGACTTTGTATTTTCCATTTCCACATTGAATGGAGATTTCAACTGTTTCATACTGGCTTTTGCAGAAGAAGGTAGAAGCTGAATTCTCTGCTCTTCTTAGTGTTGCGGAGAAGACTCATGGTCTTTATTTCTCATATGAGGCGAATTTAACACTAAGGTGATGAGTTTTCCCCCAATTTAATTTGAATCTTGTCATGTGGGGTACGTTCCTTTTTTGAATATTTGGATGGAAGTTATACATACTAGGTATGTCTCAGTTTCCCATATAAAAATTTCTTGAAAGGGCTGTTATAGTTCAAGCTATCCTGAAGCAACCACCAGACACCAATACATGATTCATTATTATTTGGTCATGCTTTATCCAAAGAAGCCCACCATTAATTAGCATAAAAATTGTGGTACTTAATTCACATGTGAAATTTTGTACATTTGCATGATACATGAAATGAAAATTTGTTTATGGAGTTATTTATATTCAAACTTGGATTCATTCATGTAATATTGTTCCTCTTCGTTCAGTGCACAGCGTTTGCATGATCTAGGTGATGAGTCAAAATTGGTTCCTCTGTGGAGGCAGGTAAGTCTTGTAACTATTAGTATAAATGCTTGAAAGTGTGTTCTCTGGTTCTTTCCCTATTACATCATCTCTATCTGATACTATGCTAGATGTCAATTATTCTTCCACATTCATGCTTTTCTTTTACAACAGGCAGAACCAAGGTTCCTATGGAACAATTACATGATGGAAGTCCTTATTGATAACAAGGTCGAATTCAGAAATTTGATTGACTTGGCTTGTTTAGTTTCTTTTCTACCCTTTTACTCCTTAGTTTGGTATTTCGTGCTAACATTATATCTTATTTTTTCCTTTCAGCTTGACCCATATCTTCTTCCAGTTATCCAAGGGAGTATCCTTAAGACTTGCTTAATGTCTTACTTGAATATTTTAAATTGAAGCCATCCCTGGCTAATCATGACTGCCAAACATACCTCTGTTCAAGTTATCCTTAATTGTTGCTCAGGCTTTCAGAACTTTCAAGCAGCCATTGGAAAAGACATAGTTGAAGTCACATTGATTGCAAGAAGATGCACTAGGAGAAATGGTACTTAAGCCATATCGTGCATCTGTAAAGTTTTATGCTCTCACTTATCTTTGTTGTTTCATTCACTCCATTTCTAACTTAATGCATTGGTTATGAATTCATGGAAACGTAAGGAAGTACTGCAATGCAATTGTTGTGTTTCTTTTATTAAGAATATAATTTAACCTTGGGTAAAAGAGAGATCAATATCTTCTATGAAGTTGAAACATTCAACTCTTTTAGTGTGACATACATTAGATTGTTTCTACTCCATCTCGATATATCTTAATTGTGTATTGTTTCTCTTTGAAGGCACTCGGTTGTGGAGGCGTGGAGCTGACCCTGATGGATATGTTGCTAATTTTGTGGAGTCTGAACAAATCGTCCAGATAAATGGATTTACAGCATCATGTGTCCAGGTATCCTTTAGGTACTTGGTGAATTGTGATTTCTCTCCTTCAATAGGTAAGGAGTTAATGGCGATTGGCATTGGTTATTGAGTTGAAGCATGAGCATCAACTCTGTGGTTATTCATAGCATGAGTACCAAATCAGTGCTGCATTCTAATATTTTTATACAATGAATTCTATCAGAGTTCATGTTCTTCTCTTCAATTGGCTTCTGCAGATCAGGGGCTCAATGCCCTTCATCTGGGAGCAAATTGTTGACTTGACATACAAGCCTAAGTTTGACATTATCAAACCCGAGGAAGCAGTAAGTTTTATTTCTCTAACGCAAGTAGTTTTAGTAGGAAAGCAAAATTTTCAAATGTATATGTACTAACAAATTATTGCTTATATTGCTTTTGATTAGCCACGGGTTGCGGAACGTCATTTCTTGGATTTAAGAAAAAAATATGGCAGTGTACTAGCTATTGATCTTGTCAACACGGTGTGTATTCTCTTTTTAATGAAGGGATTTTGGATATTTATTGAAATTTGTTTGAGTCATTGAACTTTTGTTATTAGCATGGAGGTGAGGGACACCTAAGCGAAAAATTTTCTACAGCAGTTCAGCCTGTTCTCAGTGATGATATAAGGTAGGATTTCCATTCACAAAATTTTGTCTCTATGTGTCACATGCTCTTGTCACTGATAATCTCTCTAACATGAATGAATGTACTGTAGATATGTGCACTTTGATTTCCACCAAATCTGTGGGCATGTTCACTTTGAGCGCCTTTCTATTCTCTATGAACAAATTGTGGATTTCCTGGAGAAGAGCGGGTAGGATAACTCATCCATAGACTACAAGTCTCTAGATTGCCTCTTCTGGTCATGCGGAGGCCTTGGTTGCTTTATCATTTAACCACAAATTTCATTTTGTGTTTAACTTCGTCTTATGGTTGGCAGTTACCTATTGGTGAATGAGAAGGGTGACAAATTGAAGGAGCAAACTGGGATTGTAAGGACAAATTGTATTGATTGCTTAGACCGAACTAATGTTACACAGGTGGGTTTGTTTACCCTACTTGTTTAGACTAAAACCGAATAAGACATTGTATATAGCATAAGATCCTTCTTTATTTTCAGCATCGCATTGAACCCATAGTGTATTTTCTGCTGGTGTTGGATCCATTTCATATGCCAACTGATAGGACTAGTAAAGTTGAAATGCAAGACTACGAGGCATCATATTTCTTCTTATTGCAGTACTTTCTCTTTGACACCTCACTTGGATTTTCACTATCTTTGGATTATTAATGGCTTTAGGATAATCTTTGTAGAGCATGATAGGGAGAAAAATGTTAGAACTCCAACTTCGAAGAATTGGTGTTTTTGCTGCTGAGGAAACCATAAGCTCACATCCAAATTTTGATGACGTTTTCAAAATAAGTGAGTCGATTCTCCTCCATTTACTCCCTATATTAAGTATATATGTCACATTTCTTATTGTTTGTTGGTTTTAGTGTGGGCTAATCATGGAGATGATATAAGCATCCAGTACTCAGGCACTCCTGCCTTGAAAGGAGACTTCGTAAGGTATTATTTTGTTCCTCTAGAAGTTTCTTGGCTTAGGCTTTCTGGCACGTTTAATTACCTGGATTGGATGTTGTGCTGGATTGTCACTCAAATGGTTCAGATGTATGATATGGTCCAGTATTTTCCAAAAGTGAGTGATGCCAGTTGGTAGTATATTCGACATAGTTTCCAAAAGCGATCTTGTCAAAGATATAGAAACGTCATTTGATACGATGACCGATATGGTTTTGTTGCTTCTCCTCTGAAAATCCTACATGCTTGCGATATACAATCGCTCATAAATATTTTTTGGGGAGATACAATTTATTAGCTACCTTTCAAACTTTTCAAATTATTAGCCAAACCTTTTGAAATACAAAATATTAGCCAAATGTTAACTTGTCGTTAGCAGTCTTGTTTGTAATATTGAATTGGAAATATGATACTAACTTGGAAGAGACACACTGAGGTCAACATACTTAATATTTTTATTTTAACTTAGAAAAAATTTAAAATTACTAGCGATAACAGACAAATGACTAATATTTTGATGTGTTACAAGAGATTTGTCTAATATAGTGTATTGTGAAAGGTTTGGCTAATAATTCGAAAAGTTTGAAAGGTTTGACTAATAAATTGTATTTGCTCATAAGTCCCCGAAGACAAATTTGGAACACACTGCTTCTGGTGGAGTTGTTTAAAAGTGCAGAGCGAGTAGTTTTGAGAGTCATTTACCATCATTGTACATTTATCGTTTCCCTTTCCCATTTAAGTGCCTCCTTAGGCCTTTATCTAATGCATTGTCCAAAAATATTTTATTTCCTCAATTGTGGAAAGTCGTATTAATGGAAACTTAATCATGCCCCTTGCCATTATTTGCAGGCTTGGGCGGCGTACAACTCAAGGAATCATTACAGATGGTATTAATGCCCTTGTCCGCTACTATTTGAATAACTTTGCCGATGGCACAAAGCAGGTTTGAACTTCAGTCTTCATTTGATATAGAGTGTATACAATGACGAAAAATTGTACTGCATCTCTTAGAAATTGGGCTACCCAATAAGATCTTCTTGGCATTAATCACTTGAACAATTTTCAATGAATGATCTGACTAATACTTTCTTGTATGAATAAACTTACAGGATGCAATCGATCTCGTGCAAGGACATTACATTGTTTCATTAAGTCGGGATATGAAAGCATCATCCCAAACTGGGGGGCTCGAGAGTGTAGCTGTAAGTCTCTTTCTGGGCTTTCGATTCCATTCTAACCAACGTCTAGAATGAATGCTAATGTCTAAATTGAGGGACTACTTATCACATCTAACCTTACAATTTTTTGAAGCAGTCTTTCCCGCTGGCGTTTGCGGTGATCATGCTTGGGTTCTTTTTCGCATTGTTATCACTAAGGCAAGGTGTGTTGCATTTTCTAACCATACTTCTTTTGCTTGAAATCCTCATTTTTCATCGGCGAAAAAGTTATAAGGGTTCCGAAGTTGAATATGTATATATTATTGTTGTTGGTGCAGTGCCATACGATATGAAGCACTTATTCTTCTCATTATTGTGGGCAAGCTTTACAGTGGGCATTGCAGCATTTGTTAGGGCAAATGGGCGGATTTTCTGCAACCGGCCTCGTCTGCATAAACCTAGATCATGAACCCTTTTAACTCAAGACTTCTCATGCATACAGATTTTGTTGTTCAAATTCAGAATAGCCTCGTCTGCATAATGAGTTTTATGTGCTCAAACACACCCATCTTATCACGAGCACACCCTACTTGTTTTTACCCTTCTTTTCATGTGATTGATTTTCATCATCCCTTCTTCCTGCCCTTTTTGGTTATGTTAGATTATCAATGACAGTGGGAGAATTTACTTGTGCCACTATGAACTACGACAATAATTTGTTTTGACAGTTCCTAAAAAGTAAGCTATATTTTAGACCATAGTAGTCTCCTTATCTGAATGTGGTGAGATTATTTTGTTCTAACTTGAATATATTCTCTTTATGTTACGCATTATTCACTATATGTTACGCATTATTTACTATATTTTAGACCATAGTAGTCTCCTTACATGAATATATTCACTATATGTAACACATTATGTGAAATTATTCTCTTTACAATTGTAATCCAACCAAACATTGTTTCTTAAAGGGGCTACCATTATCGTTTGGCAATCGATTGATGGGGTAATTGACTCAATTTTTATTATTTTAATTGTTTTGGGTTGGATTTGAATTTAGTCCAATTTGGGTGAACTAATATTTGTTAAATCCAAATTGGTCTATTTGGATCCAAATGATTGTGTACACAAAAGCAATGTCAACCATCTTATTAATTGTCATCAATCCGGTTACACTTTTAATGCATATTTCTGTTGTTTCATAACAAAAGATCAAAACAAAATTTGCATCAGAATCGGATGTCCATTTTTTTTAGCACCCAATACTATATGTCCAATTTAGACCCAAACTTAAAAGTTGGGTATGAGTATTCCCCAAAAATAATATTACCCAAACATAATTTGAACTATAATAACCAATAAGTTTAGTTTGGGCAATACTCAAATATTGAGTCTTTTTTCATCCATAATCATTACACAGAAAATGCATAGGCCTTAAATGATTTTATCAAGTAACAATTAGTTTTCATAACTTAAACTATTGACAGTAAATTCTGAGTGACTTCATGTCTAATTTATTAAAAGCTCGTTCAATATTAGAGTCATTTTTTGTGAACTGGTTTGTTTACTAATGGATCAGAGTTTGGATCATGTACAACTAAGTTCAGTAGAATTACGAGCTTGCTTGGCTTGCGGTTCTTAAGCTTGCTTCGGAGCTTACTTCATGGTGCGCATCTCGAGCCAATTCAACTAGCTTGTCAGTGCCAATATGTATCGAATCTTACATTTCTAAGATAAGTAAATGCATTGTGGAACCAACTATGAATTTGTAAAATGGAGTTTTAATCATATAGGCCGCATGTTATTACATCTTAACATATTTTATAAAAAAACATACATTTCACATCAGTATCGAATTATCAATTGATGGGTTACTCAGTGCTTACTAATTGACTTATAGATTTTAAGGTTTACTTTATAAAAAATAAGTGTTCACATCTACAATTATTTTTTAACTCCTACACCACATTAAAAAAAAATTGGAGAATTTAATGGACTTCAAATAAGCTAGCCCGTCAAGTCAGAATAAATAGGTTAAACCAAGAGGAGGTTTGGAATTTTATAATATTTATCCGATTTATCAACAATGTCTTGGCTTCAAGATGTGAGCAATGTCATGGACCATGGAACTGTGGTTAATGGTTTCTGCACCAACATGTGATCCACATGTCCATGATATCAAACCATTGTTCAATCTTATAATGAATAACAATGTTATTGTGATCCCAACGGTGTCACGACAAACCACATAATAGTTGTAGTCATTGAAACTCATGATCTAGACTTTTGATCAATGTTGTCAAAATCGAACCGAAGATCGATCCGAATTTGGGAGAGGTTCAATATTTATCGCTAACCACGGGTTAACCTGTACTACAAACCGGCGATACACAATATCAATCAAGTCATGGCTTCATGACAATTCTGAAAATCAATATCACTTTCCAATTTAAGAATTCTATATCTAATCTAGATATTTAATAATAAAATAAAATATTAAAATGTAATCATAGTACTTAAACATCAAATAAAAATACTTGAAAATCAAAATCGTCGGTTCGGATTTATTGGTTTTGTCGGTTAACCAAGTTAACCAATCATAACCCAGCCGAAATGTTTGCTTGCCGTTTTAAGGCTTCCGGGACCGGACTAATGGGCGAATCCGGTATTTCCCGGTTGGACGGTCCGGTCCTACCCAATTTTGATAACAGTGTTGTTGATCCATAATAAGAAGTGTTGTGGCTTGTGGTGCAGAGTCGTGATACACTCATGGTAGCTCTTAGTTTAGAGCCGCGGTGGAAAGCTATGAAAATTTCCTGAGGAAATCAACACCGCAACTTAGTGCATCATTGCACACCATGGTGCAAGTATGTAGAGCCATGATGCAGCCTTGCGTAGCTAAGTGCCAAAGAAGGTTGTGAATTTTGAAACACAACATTGCAGTTGCTCATAGTGCATTGGTCTGGTACAACCATGCCAACTTGCGATTCCATGAAAATAGTTCAAGCTTTGTCAAAAAAAAAAAAAAGGTTCAAGCATTATTTTGGTCCTAGCAAAATTGTGGTTGTAACCATTTTGGCTTTGGAGCAACATTGAAGCCCTAAGCATGTCTCGGGCTTAACAAAAACGTGGTGGCTCGAATAATGTTGCAATGAAAGTTATGGGCCAATATTGAAGCCTACTGGGCCATGGTTGCATGAAGAATGACATCGCAACTTGAACTACAAGATTGTGAAACTGTACCGGAAGTTATACTGGAAAAGTCTGTAGTAGGGTATTTTGTACTAAAACGGTGGTTTAAAGGTAATTCAACCATTTTCAATCGCTAAAAGCACCTACCAGTTTGGGTCTAGTATATAGTCTTTCCGGCCTGACCAAATGACATAGGGCATCTCCAGCTCGAGCACGAGAAGCTGCAAGATAGGCAGGACTCATTGAACCACCGGGTTGACGAAATATATGCCAAACAAGCCAAACTGGAGGTTGGCATGAGCTTGATCCTACCCACCTCAGCGATCCACCTTGGGAGAAGACGTTGACATCTAGACAGACACCACTGCAGAGATACTGAGGAACCATGGGAGTTCCCTAGAAAATCCCTTCTCATATGTACTATAAATAAAGTCTTAGACTTGAACTTTTATAAACATATATACCGCACAAAACAGTAAAATTTTTGTTGAATCTCGATGAGGATGCCTTCATCATCATTAATGATATCTTCCCCATTTCTTGTGGCGAACTAAGCTTGTATTGTTTAGGGATGTGAATTATTTGATGCTTCATGCATCTACTTCTACGAGTTAATGAGATGCTTTGTTCATTAGATGCCTATATCATTTGATACCTTAGGCATTTAATGCTTACATCATTTGATGCTTTAGTTATATGATGTCTTAACCATTTTATGCTTATATCATCTATTATGTGCTATTATGGTCTTGATAATAATATCATTATAGGTTGATAGGAAACTGCTCTTATATGTGATATGTTATTACCTTGTGTATGTATGCTTAGTTGGACGCGACTATGCATGCACATGTGAGATCAATATTTGATACTCTAGATCATCAATGTTATAGACAATTGATATGGTTCATAGAGATCCTAAGAAGTCAATGTGCTATCAATACTTTCTAGTTTACTTAACTAGTTGTAGTTCCTCTCGCATGTGGTGAAATCTCGGTTAGAAATGTTTTAATGGAAGAGATAAGGTATTATAATAGTCTGGTGAATAGATGCATCTTATTAATGACATTGTATGCATGATCATCTAGATGAAAATGCCTGAACAATAGTTCTTTTATTGCTTTCATTCTTATTTTTGTTTGTTAACCTCGACTCATCGTATTTAATTTTCCTTAAATTACCATCTCAAATATAAGTAGTTACTTTTAAAGTAGATACCATCAAAAGACTCGTGAAATACGATCCTAGACAAAAGCTAGGTTATGGCTTTGGTACATAATACAACATCATCACCGCCGCAAAGTCTGTTGCCGAGATGTGAGTCACCTAAACCTCTAGGGTTTCCCCCATGCTTCTGCATGCCTCGTGGTGACATTTGATCCCCCAACTGGGACATCATTTGCAAATCATCTCCTCAAATTCCTTCTTGCCTTCATTACCTCTATGCAGTTTGATGGAGTGTGGATACAATCTTCTAAAGTCTGTCGTCCAGCTTGACCTGGTTCTCCACCCTTTGAACTCTTTAAAACATTCATCACTATGACATCCCCGACATAGACCATATTGCACAAAGATTGTTCTGAGGATGATATCTATGTTTCCTCCATAAAAATTTTGACGCCCAACAAGCTTTGATACCACTAATAGAAAGCACATCTCTAACGTCCATGATAGGGTTAGATAATAGGGAATTGAATATGGTTTAGGGATTTAGAGAAAATTGAAGAGATAATTGTAGGAGAAGATAGCTTAGGGAAGAAGAAAGAGGAAGGAAGAAGAGGAGGAATTCGGTTAGGGAAGAAGACGAAAGAGAAGGGAAGAGACAAAAGAAATCCGCTAGAGGAAGAGTGAGAAGGGATATTAGGTTTAGTCATAAATATTCATCTGTATTTGCTTGGTGAACTCAAACCAAAATTAAAAAATATATAACCCAATAAATTTTCTTAAACTACCAATAATTAACCCTTACTACGGAAATATCAAATAACCCCCCAAAACCCCTAATAGCAAAAATACTACAAATAACTAATAGTCCAAATATAAAAACATGATAAAATTTAGGTACACTCTTAGATAAGAATGTTATGATTTTGACTATAATGTAGAGAAACAAAAACAAACTAGAAAGCCTGTTGAGCATACATGATGTGTTTCAAATTTATAACCACAAAAGAATAATGTTATACATGCTGAGAGTTAAGCAAGTAAGCAACTATGCAAGTGAACAAACCTATCATCGAGATTTCAACAGTAGTTTTTTTCTAGAGGTATCTCAAGGTGGGAAACACCAACACACGAGTAAAGGACGTTTGTAGGTCAAATCATAAAACAGAGAAAAGGAAGAAGCGTTGGTCAACCAAAAGGTGGTCTAACGATGAGAGGGCTAGTTTTGCCATGAGATGGGCAACCCTATTATACTTACATGGAGCGAAGTGAAATGAGGCACGCTGGAGAGAGGATTGCACTATGCAGGACCTGAACATCAGCTAAGAGAGCACCACCAAGAGCGTGTGGTGTGTCCTTCGTGTGTCAATCTGAATGACAACTTGCGCATCACCACAAAAACATATGTTAGAAAAAGAGTGAGGTAAGCACCATAGGAGGGAATCCCTCAGAGCTCTTAGTTTAATGATG